TATCATAAAGATCAAGAACAAACAAGGTGGATGAGAGTAGTGAAGTGACGTTGCGCGGAGCAGGCTTCGCCCGTTGCTTTGGGGAGGGGGGTCGGAAGCGCTTCTCCATGGGCTCTTCCTTGACTTGTGCTTTTCGTTTGAAGATCCTCCACTCGTTCTGGAACGCAATGTCTTCGAAGCCTGGGATGGTTTCGTGGTCTAGCATCGCTGCGTCAAGCACCTTGTCCAAGCGCCTCTCGGCGTCCCGCACGATGAGGATGAATATCTCGTTGATGAGCTCGGACAGCTGAGCCTGGAACTCGACCGTGGCCTCCACGAGCCCGGCGTCTTTCTTCAGGTAGTGAAGCAACAAAGTGGCATTCGATATCCAGAAGGCCAGTATCGTCATGTCCCACTGATACTGTTCGACTACGTCGTTGATCTTGTCCATGGCCGAAATCATGAGCTTGGCTAGGAGGTCGGGGCTGGAGTGGTAGTGTGCATATCGTGCGCTTAAGAAAATCATGTTCGCCGGTACAGGCTTTTGTGCCGGTGATCGCTGGGGCGTCATATTCGTAATGATGATGTCGAGAATGCGGTCGAGCTCGTGTTCCTGGAAAACAAACATCTGGTCGTGAAGACAGCGAGACCATTCGAACTCTGGTTGCTCTTCCTCAAGCTCCTCGGAGTTCTGCGCACGTCAACATGTAGACCTTTGAGATGTGCCTGATCGTAGCTTACCTCTGGCTGGTCATCCATGCCAACATTGCCCAAGTCGACCTCAAGATCTCGGGCGCTGTCCATCATCATCCGCCTCCGCAGTTCGTTCTCGGCCATTTCTTCCTCGAACCGATCCTGTGAAAACCCAGGGTTGTAGAAGTCGTCGGTGCCAGCATTTCCAATATTGTAGCCGCTATCATGTAGGTAGAAGGACATGTCGCTGTCGGGAGGGACGAAGTCGAAGGCCGTCCGGCCAGACGACGTCTTTTGTTCGGCCGAAGCACCGTTGTCGAGGAGAGTCTTGGCGATGCTCTTATGCCTATTCGTCATCGCCCACATAAGAGCGCTCCACTGATTTCGGTCTTGCTTGTCGACGTCGGCGCCAGCATCGATGAGCGCTTGCACGACACCCTCGTGGCCCTGGATCCGAGTCAGCGATAGCACTTCCCCCCCTCCGTCATGCGTTAACTCACAAAACAGCTTGCATATATCAGTGGCGGGGTTCCGTCTTCGTCCGGCGCATTAATATCGACATAAGCCTTTGCCTTGCCGCTCACGATGCTGCTGACCCTCTCGACGTCGCCATTGCTGGCAGCCATGTTCAGAGCTCTCTGCAGCGAGTCCTTCTTCTCATCCTCGGACAACTTTTCGTTTGACAGTATTGTTTCTTCGTCGTCGAAGCCGGGCCCAACACGGTGGGCGGCTTGTGCGGCAATCATCTCCATGAGGCGCGCGTCGCTGTTCTTGGGGCCTGCTGTGATGTCGTCGTCATAGGTGCGGTCGTCTAAGCTTAGATCGCCAAAGTTGAGGGGCTTTGCAAGGACAGGCGTGGTCAGGAATTGCGATTGTCCTGTGTGATGTGTCGAGCGGCGTCAGTATGCGATGCTCCCCCTCTTCGTGCTCATGGGCAGTGTGCGGATGACGTGGGAACCTCAACTAACCTTGCCATCCATCATACATCTCCGTCTCTGGAACCAACTCGACGGGACGGCGACTGCGGTCGTTGAGAGACTTGGGCAGGTCGTCTGGCAGTGGGCGTGGCTTCTTGTCGCCGAAACCACCACTAGCGTCCTCGAAGTCCATGGTGGGAGGAGGGGCAACCAGGAGGCCCGGTAGGCATTAATGAGTCGGCCGAGGGTATTGTTTTATGCGGCGCGAGTTTCGAGGTAAGATGCGGGCCGGGTGTTTGTGGGAAACGGCGCACGGGAAGTTTCGTGGCTCCCAAAAAAGCTGTGATGTCGGGCGAGGCCTGTCTCCCAGCACTGGATAAGTAGTTGAAGTAAAGGTAGGTAGTTGAACAGGAACGAAATAGCGCTCGGCGCCGCTACTGTCGTGTGATGTCGAAGTGTTGTTCCGTGTCCAATCCACTTGGTCCAGTTGTGTGTGCTGTGAGCTGTGTGCCCAGTCCCGGACCCAGTCCTGGCCCATAGGAAAGGACTCTCGGTACCCGAGTCCCGCAACGGTCCACGCCAACGGGGCCAAGTTCAGGTAGATGAACGACGGGCGATCGGGCTGTTGATGTCACTAATTGATTACGGCGGGCACCCATCCGTGCCTACCGTGCTACCTCACCTCTCATCCACTGCCTGAACAGCAACGCTCAAGGAAGCTCCCCCGCCTAACTCCAACCAGTGCCAGAGTATGTAGGTACCTTACCTTAGGTGCGTATGGACCGTGCATGCCCTAGCTGTGCAGTGTCACACCAAGCTTCCCCTGACGGAACTTTACCAACTGAAGATCGCTCTCTCCTGTCAAGTTGAGAACCCCTCCTCGGCACCATTACCCTGAGGTAAAACATACATAATATGCCTGCCGTTGGTTTGCTATGTAATGTACTCATCTTCAAGCCTCCATTGCGGTAGAGATGCCTAAGAATAGTAGAAATGCCTTAAGACTGACCCCTTCATCTCTCTTCTGGCCAATGCCCCTAATGATCAGCCAGCACGGCCAAATCACTCAAAGACCGGCTGCATGCACACTCACACACACAGACACGAGGGAGCAAGGTAGGTCCTGGCATCAAGTTTACCCCTTATTCGCTTATTTCAGTTTTTTTTTTTCGAGATTTATTTATCTATCCTCGTCTTTGGTTATGCTTTTGCCTCTTACTTCCCCGCGGCCTATGCTTGCTTCCATGCTTGCAAACCCTGTTCGTAGGATCCAGACACAGATTACGTAGCAAGCTCCTGTTTTCAACACGCAACGTCTATGCTCTCTTGCCAAAGACGCGCAGTCTCTTCACTCCGCCATCCGGAATAATGGTGATCTTGACGTGTGTGAATGCCTTGTCCTTGACGGCGCTGGGGAACTCGTGCTCCGCATCCGGTCCGCACTTGCTAGGCGCCACAATCTCCGTCCAGCCGGCGGCGTCCGCGCCCGGCTCGCCGCTCTCGGTCCACGAGATGGCATCAATCTTTGACTTTTGCGGGAAGTTGCCGCGGAAGTGCGCCGTGTCGACAACGACGTTCTGCAGGTAACCGGGGGCGCCGAGACGGATAATGGTCCAGTCGACGTGGCCCTTGCTGCGCGATCTGGCCGTCTCCCATCCATCTCCCATGTCCTTACCGCGGCCAGGCAGCAGAAGGTTGTCCTTGGTGCCAAAGTGCTGGTCGCTGCAGGAGATGGCGACGCCGCCGTTCTGGGCGGCAGCCAGGTCGAAGATGGCCTCCTTGTCGTCGGGGAAGACGGGCACGGCGTGGCCAAAGAGACGGAATCTGGCAATACCACCATCCGGGTACATGTTCAGGCGGACGTGAGTGTACTGCTTCTGCTTGGGCTCGGCCAGCTTCCATCCGAAGCGCTGCGACGGGCCACACTCTTCGTTGCCGAGAATCGTCTCCCACTGGCCCCTGCCACCCTTCCATGAGACGACCTCGTCGTCGTTGAGGTTGAAGCAGCCCTCAACCGAGATTGAGGGGGCGTGGTTACCAGAGAAGAAGGCGGTGTCGACCTCGACACCCTCGACAGTGCCGGACGCAACACCAAGACGGACAATGACCCAGTCAAAGGGCTCCGTGTTGTGACGCCTGGTCTCCCAGCCGTCGTACCAGGCGCCGGTGTAGACCATCTTTCCCGGTTGCCTGATGGGCGCGGTCGGCGTCAACAAGTTGGTGGCCTCGGCGAACCATTCGTCTGAGAAGGCGAGAATCTTTCCACCCAGGGCAGCAGAGATCAAGTCTGAAGGGAAGGTTCAGTTTCTGTTTCTTTGTCATGACAAGGTTGTCGTATGTGTGTACGAGGTGGCGTGGACGATGAGGCGTCTCACTCATTACTTACCAATGCTGCTTGAGCGGAATGTTGTGTCAATGTCATCTGAGGCGACCCTGGAAGCCTTGACCTGCTCGAGGGTATATTCTTGTTCGCTGGCCATGATGAAGGTTGAAATGCGTGGTATTGAGAGAATTGAAGAGGGGCAGAATACGCCGGGCGCGGGGTCAGAGTTTGACTCAAGATGTGAGTTCTGTGAGGATATCTAGATAGATGGTATCACAACCTGGAGTTTGCAAAATGTAGACTGAGTGAATGGAAGAGGATGAGAGGTGTGGGATGAAAGTGAAAGTGAATGTTTGTCGGATGAGGAGAAGTAAAAGTCTCGCGCAAGAGTCACGGGCTTTGGCCGTTCGGCGCCTCGCCCGCCCCCTTCTCCCATTGTTCTTCAAGCACCCGACTGGACGTGGAATCTACGCCGAGCGGCCAGTTCCGAGGTCGGGCGGCCACAGCTGACGGCCGCATTGGAGGGGTTTGGAGGGGTTGATGGCGGCCGGCGGCCAGCGGGCAGTGACGGCGCGGGGCGCGATAAGCAGAAAAAAGGCGTAATGATTCGATTGAATCAGGTAATTAACGTACCTGCCTTGTGCTAACAGCCAGACGGCGGACCAATCTGCGACTTTACCCGTTTACAGTGACCACAGTGACACACAGGTTTGCTGCTTTTTTCCCCGCAATCCCATCGGCCCAGTTCGAGTGGCACTGAGCGCCCGTGAGTCCAGTGTGACGGTGCGAACCCCGCTATTCGGTCGGCGGGGCGGGACGGGAGGCTCCTGGTAGAATTGGCGCCGAGAAATTGGGGACGATGAGGTACGCGGTGGAAGCCGATATGCGAGCCAAGGCCGGACGGGAGGCTCTGAGATGCTACCATTCGGAAGACTCTCCGATCTTTAGATCCGTGTATAGTTACTGGCAGTCTGTATGTAGAATTATATGTAGGTGGAACCATGCCCCTCTTCCTGTTTTCATGTCATCATGACCCTCTCTCTGCTTCCATCTTTACTTTATGCCAGCGTGTATATGTGTGTGTGTACATGTACTTCAGTGACAGCCTGCAACATGAAAGTCTACAACACTTCAAACATCGATCACCCCGTGACTTTGAGAATCTGATAAGATATGGCATTGACCGCTCCGACAACCATCATCGTCGTCGGCAGGGTCATCCATCACGGGGAGATGCTGCTGCTGTTCGCTCGGGAGGGTGTCGCATATTGCGGCTAGGAACAATCGAGGAAGAGAAGCGACGGAGGGTAAGAGGTACCCCTCGGTCCATCACGTGGGAAGTAACCAGCCTTAGACTACACAAGTAAGGGCAAATGTTGTCGTGAACAAGTAGTTGGTAAGAGAGGTCGCTTGAGGGGTCATCACCGACGGACGACACCAGCACTTCCTTCCACACCTTTCGTGAGATAGATGACACGCACACTACCTGCGGTTCCAGGTTGTCAGGTTGTCTACTGCTATGGGGCCAAGACAAGGCAGTGATTTTCGACGCGAGGTCCAACTCCCGAGCACACCTCGCATAGGTATCATCCTCAGAACTCTCGTCATTGGCAGATGGGAGACCGTTGGACCTACCCGACCCGCCAGAAACTGGGGTTGACCTTTTCTACCTCTTCTTCGCCTCGAGATCGCTGAAAGAGCGTTGTGGTCCTCCATTTGTCCACGGGAGTAACAGTCATCACCCAGACAGAAGCCGAACCTCCGCCCCTTCTGCAGACGAATGCATAGACGACTAAATGGCAACAACAATGCGAGCCGGCCCATGCTGGGGGAAAGCTTGAGAGCAACCGTCCTTAGCGTCTTTTGTGCGCAATGAGGTGGCCATATGCGTGCAGGATGGTGGGTGAGATCGATGTTAGCGGTTGCCTGGTTTGTGCTTCTGGTGCTTATACCAGCACGGTACGTATCCTCACCCCGAATTCTACAGCAACGGACCGGTAGCGGCAGGTTACCGACCTTACCCCACCTCCAACGTTTAGCGCACCGTTCCCTGCAATCACCCCCTGCAACCACTGCTCAATCCGAAATACACGGCCTCCGATAGGTCACAGCTCGAGACAACCTCGCCGTCATCGATGCCGCCATCGACGACTTCTCTGTACCTTTTCCGACCGCCAAAATGCCGTCCCTTCCCTCATCTTCCTTCTCCTCCTTCCAAACCCGGCTCTCCGTAATCACGGCAATTAGGCCATACTTCAACACCGCCCTGTGTGCTTGTCCCAACTTGATCTCTTCATCCTTCCTGACTACAACAATCGCAATTCCTGTCGCGACAATCGAGAATAGATCTGTCGTAGCTTTGCGCCCTCGCTCCTAGAAATACAACGCATTCCCCGAGACCCATTTCCCGAGGCCCTCTTTGTAACTCCCAACAACAAAGACAACCGCGACTACGCCAACGATCATGTCTTCTGCCACAGGACTTCCAGAACCACCCCCACGAGGCGATGGCGATAACGAGTTCGAGCCTCTTCTCGGTCGACCCGGCGACGCCCAGCAAGAACCGGATGAATTCATCGCCAGGAACCTCATTATCGGTATGATGCTTTCCCCCCAGCCACACCCCGTCTCCCTTTGAGGTTTTCCGGGTGGCTGCTGATTTGTCAACCTTCGCAGGCACCGGTATCATCGCCCAATTCGGCGCCGTCATCTTCGTTGCCATGATCTGGGCCGCCGTGCTGACGAAGGACGTAATCCTCTTTTCCGGCCACCCGCTCGCGCAGAGTCTCGCCATCTTCACCCTCACCCAGTCGATCCTCTCGCTGCAGCCGACGCACACTCCCGAGCAGAAGCGCGTCGGCCAGCGCGTTCACGCCGGCCTCAACCTGCTCGCCTTTCTCTTCCTCGTCGCCGGCGTCGGCATCATCGAGTACAATAAGTACCTGCAGGGCCCAGACTCCCACTTCCACTCCGTCCACGGCTACCTCGGCGTCACCGTCTCCATCATCCTCTTGTTGCAGTACATTGTCGGCTTCACAATGTGGGCTACCCCGAAGTTGTACGGAGGCGAGGATACCGCCAAGTCAATTTGGAAGTACCACCGCTGGAGCGGCTACGTCGTTCTTGTGCTTCTCCTCGTGACGGCTGCGACAGCCATTGACACCGGTTTCAACTATAATGTATTGAAGCTGAAGCTCTGGGCTGTCGTTGTAACTTCTCTCTTGATCCTCGTGGGTATCATCCCGCGCGTGCAAAAGCAGAAGCTTGGTTTCTCGTCTTGAATCTGGCGGGAAACGGCTTCATTGGTACTGGCTCGATATGGGTGCCGGTCTTCGCAAGTCACTTTAACCTAGATCAATTCGCCTCAAACAACAAACGAGAAGGGAAGAAAAGGGATACCAGCGAAGCTTATCTGAAGGGAACGGGAAGTTTTGTACTTTGGTTAAAGTCAAGATCGCATAAGCGTCTGCTTTGTAGGGTTGTTTTTTGAGAATTCACACCATGGGATCGAATCGCGTGGGTCTGTCGCTGTCAGGCGTCGTTACTGATCTGTCGAATTATCTCGTAGCGTTTGCAAGTTGCATAGTGATTATTTGATTCTTTACCTAACCTTTGTCTGTTCAACATCGCATGTCTACCCAGACGCAATTGAAAACATTCCCACCGCCTCATCAGAAAGCCCAAGGTTGGCCAGCTACGTGCGGAAGGACTTTGGAGACGTCGATGGTTACTCGGTCCGCATGGGAGCTGAACGTTGAGCAGTACATGACTGCATGACCAACGAGATCGACTTTGCGGACATCACAACAATTTGACCATTGGGGATGATTATTTCTGGCGTTAGCAAAACGTTACAGGCATGTGGCGCGCTTATAACTTATACAGGAATAATCACGATCTTTCAGACAAAAACTTGTAAGTAAACCAATCATCTGTCAATTCCATCATTCGACTTTCATATACATTAGTCGCTCCTCTGGGGTATACTGTCCGCCAATACGTAGAATATCAAAATCACCACGCTGTACAAACAAGACGAGACGTCTCGCGCGTCCATTCATCGTCTCATGCATCTGCGCTTTCAAACATGGAATCCTCTTCCAAAGGTCATAAACATGCCCCAAAGGCATCTCTCCTCTCCTTCTCCGCTGGTTTATACTGCCGAGGCAGCATTTCGTCTCATTACCATCTCAAATCTCTCAGGATTAGGTGAGATTGAAAATTATGAAATATTCAGCATGTGTCTTATCGCATGCCCTCGGTATTCAAAATTCGTGCACGTCGTTCGACCATTTGGGTTGGCCGGTGCTAAAGAGTGTAAAGAAAATATCCAGAGTCGACATGGGTGTCTCCAGGATCGATTATGGGTGCGGCCATATTGTGCATCCTCGTGGACTCCATGCCACTAGCTCAACCTCGCGCATCGTCATCGGTTCGCGGCTGTATGGCCTGGTGGAAGGCGGCTGGCGACCGAATCTTCACAGCGGAAAGACACAGCTGGGCATGGCGCGCCATCGAGGATAAGCGGACTCACTGCTACGGCATGAATGGTGACCCCAGACATGCGGCCTGCCCATCGCTGCTTTGCAAGTAAGCAGCAGCCACATTGTCGCGCGGACTTCGCTGTTCAAGTGCGCGACAAATTGTTTGCGTACGGTCTCATCATACCGTTTTCCCTTTTGATAGTAGAGTGACCTCCTTTCTAGGGGAAGGTGGTTCCGACAGGCATGGGCCAATCATCCTCGGTGATGCTAGACCAGAACACCCAGACTGCCACGACAGCAAGCAGGGTGAACAAGGTCTCGAATAGCGCGCCGTCAATCGCACCATTGGTGCCATTGCAGATGTGAGAGCTCACAACGTAGTTGAAGATCTGACCAATGGCAAAGAGTAGCAAGGCTGCCGTCAGGTAGATCATCGGCCGCATCTCGCCGAGAACCCGAACGACGAGGATAGCTTCGAGAACGAAAAATGCGACAAGGAAAATTAGCGGCGCAAGCTGGTACAGGACGTAGAGAGCAATGTGGCGGTTCGGCGCAGTGTACGAAGAGTCCCAGTAACCCGTCCACTTGAAGCCGGTATCAAGCGTGATGTAAAGCGTACCGCCCAAGAGGATAGTGGCGGAGGCAATGATCAGGCCCATGGACATAGGCGTTCCATCGTCGACGATTTGGTAGCCAACGACCGCGTTGAGCATGAGGATCCAGGTCGATGCAATAATCATACCAAGATGAATTCCAGTGAAAGCCTATACGTCAGTCAGGATAATTGCTCCCACAAAGTTAGAGCCTCAACCGGGAAACTAACTATTCGAACGTTTTCCGCCAATGGAAAGTCTCCAACGGTGAAGATCTCGCATATTTCAATAATGATAAAGCTGACAAGGAACAGTTGCATTTCCCTGTGCATCAAGGTTAGCTTGCCGGTCGTGCGCAATGCTTGAGCGACGTCACGGGCTTACCTCCGACCTACTGCAGCCTTCTTCCGCTCAGACCGCAGCAATAGAAAAAGTGTCACGACAATAGCAAGGGCGGCAATGAGAATTGAGCCGAGATTTCCCAGCTTGCGGCCTCCGCTGAGGGAGATACCCTTCAACACGCATTGGTCCCACGGGCCAGTTTGACTATGGCTGTCGGATAGCACCTGAGGAAGAATCGGTTAGTTTAGGTTGCCGAAGCTCGCGAAAGCTCATCAGATGCACATCGCGAGATGTCGATGAAGAATTCAACATACATTGCAGACGGGTAGTGTTGAGTCTCGGCAGAAGTTCTGTGGACATGGTTAGCACCACGCGGTATGCGACAAGATGGTGGGCACAACTTACAAAAAAGTTGCCAAACTGTGTTGAACCCATGGTGGCTGACGTTTGCGGCGAGACTAACAGCTACGTGCCAATGGGTGTCCCTTTCCTTTGAACGTCAAGTGTTCCCAAATTCAGGTGCTTTTGCAGGCGGCAAGAACAAAGGCGTTGATGTCTCGAGGGCGAGTGGATTCGAACGGCGTAACTAGTATTAGAGTCGCGTTGTTGAGGTGTACATGGAACAGCGAGGCGGCAGAACGGTAACGGTCAGCCGGTAGCTACAAGTCCGATCTGCTCCTCTCGTTCTTAGAGTTGGTTGAGGTTGATGGTTGTTCGCAAAAGTTGGCGAAGGTGAGGAATATGTTGTCGGGTGGCTGGTTGAGCAAGCGGGTCCTGTTTCGCAGCCTCGTATTTCGATCCTTCCCCCGTCGACGCGATGCGACTTTCTTCTCAGCTGATTTCGAGGCAACGGTTGGTTGTCTTGTTGACAGCTAGCTGTTTGTTCCCTCTCGATTCCTCCCTTTGCGGATTATCGGTCCCTCAATACTGCCAGTCGACAAATATACGCAGTGGTCGTTGGATGATGCGATGAGGAAATTGAATTGGTGCCGAAATTTTGGGGGATGCGGTTGCTTTGGGGGCAAGCCTCAAGGTAAGGCAAGACGGCAGCGAGGAAGACGATGGGCAGCAGATGCAGGTAGGTTGCAGCTGGGGGTGCAGGTGGTTTCGCAGGCGCAAAGTGACGGGAAAGGCGTGAGGGACGTCGGGAGGCGGCGCGCAGAGGGCGGTGGGACAATATAAGCCAAGTGAGTAAGGAGTGGAGGCGTTTAGTCCTAGAGAGGTTTCGTGCGGTGCCCTTCGAGTAATAGCGCCGAAGGGTGATTGACGAGGGGGGCTAGGGGAGAGGATTGGCAACTGCCCGGGTACGGAGTACAAAATTTAGTAGTGGAGGTGGGCGGTAGGTACCTTGGCAGGCTGGCAGGAAAGCAGGGAGGAGGGGTGCTAAGGCAGGAACAAGGTACAGGCTGGTACCTGGATATTCATGCCTAAGGTGGGAGAGATAGGTAGCCAGCCTCTCGTGCCTCTCACCTTCTTAGCGAGGCACTGGACTGAGGCAAGGTACCTACCTTGAGGAAGTATCTTTCAAGTATCCGTATTATGGGATTGCTTCCAGGTTCCTGGTGTCGTCCATCGCCTTGGACGCTTCGAGAGCAGCTATCTTAGGTCAATTTAGGTAGCTTGGGGGAAGAGCCTCTCGAACGTTTTCTTCCCTCTCTTGCTCTCACCTTACAATGTGTGAAGCAAACAGGTGCTTTCCATTGCTTCCATGTCACCTTCCATGACTGACGGCAATCTCATGGGATAAGGTAGGTAGCTTTCCCTATTCGTACTGGACACCTGAACTTGAAGCGACAGGGCTGGGCGCATCAAAGAAAACTGAGCCACTGGCCCACCTGGGATGGAGAGGGTTTGAGGCACACGGAACCTCAAGCGTCAAGAGAGTTGACGTACGGAGTATTTCGTAGGAAAAGGCAGGTTTGATTTTCCAGTTTTGCTGCGATGAATTATAGTGTACCTCCCCACCCCCTTGGCCGGTAACGCTAAACCATCTGGCGCTTCCGTGGTGCAGTCGCACGCGCCATGATTGGACGATGCGGCCACTTGGGACGAAAGATTTCCAGGCAGCTCGCGAACAACTGGCGGGTCCTTGGAAGTGTAATTTGGCGACCCCCAGTCCGGTGTGCTCCCACCCTGCTTTCCTTCTTTTCTTTCCTTTCTTTTTTTTGCGATTTCTCTCTGTATCACGGTCGCGCAGCCAATGCTCTTATTCACCGGCCTCTTGCCGCATCTGTACACCTTTACTCACCTATGGTACTTACCGTGTAGGAGTTGAGACAAGGAAGGGAATGAGGCAGCCCTGGGCAGATGAAATCGCGACAAGCATCTGTGAGCACATGTGTCAAAGCCAGGCGCGAACAGGGCGGGTTTCCATTTGCAAAGTCATGGAGAGGATGCTCCAGCTCGTCTGATGTCGCACATGAGATTTGGCAACCACCACGACCTCGCGAGCTCCCGGACGGCCCTTAGTAGTATTAGTGTGGCATCCGTAGATTACACGCAAAGTTGTCATTCTTTTGCGCCTGGCCTGTTTCGGTTAGATGCCATCATGCCAGTGCTGGTGCAAGCAGAACATAATGCGTAGGTCTTCACCAAGCAGCGTTCACCCAACGCTTGTGGGAGAGGAAGACGGAGAAGGGAGACACGGCTGAACAGCACCAGACAAAAGCAAGCGGAATCGTACGTTGCGACATCTCGGGGCCGAATCGCCGAGTACCTATCTCTTCGAATACGTACCGATTCGCAGTACGGTACGTAGTACCTAGGTAGAGTACCTTAGGTAGCCCAAACCAAATGGAAAGAACTGGCTGGGTCTTGGACTCTTGCGCCGCCTTGGTAATAAAGTCGGCAAATTGGCGACTTTCATGCACGATGAGCTGGGAAGCCGCCCTCTGCAACCTCACACCTCCCTTACAACTCTCGCCGCCACGTATCCTTCATTTTCACCCTCCACGGTTGACTTTTACAGATTCTATACTCCGTACCCATATGCAACCTTTTGAGCAATTCCTCCCTCGGTCGTGGCCCACTCCCTCGCCATGCCTGTGCTCCACCATTCACGGCCGTCGCGAACTCCGTGATCGTCACTCACCTGGCCCTTCACCTTGAATCCCTACACCCAACTCCCTGCGCTCCACTCATGATCCAGCCTCGTTGAAGCGTCACGGCGTTGGTTCTGGTCATCTCTGCCTCTTCCTTTCAGTACTCCGTATGCCTACTTCAACTACTCCATACTCCTCACCGAACACGTGCTCTGTTTCGCAGCTACAAACGCACAGCAAGAATCGACCGTACTCCAATGAAAAGGTATTGCACTATACCTCACCGGCCGAGACACTCTAGTATGCTCCCGCCAGAAGCCAGCGTCTAGCCCGAGTCACCAAACCAACCTAGACAGAGGGTACTCGACTTGAGGAGTCGAGGGAGGTGGAGAGCATGATCGAATAGACACGGGTGACGCTGGAATTGACGTCTGTTCCACGCATGAGGCACCCTGAAGCCTGTGCTCTACATTCCTTTGCAACATCGACGCCAACCTGGAGGTCATCGCATGGCATTGCAAGGTGTAAAGTACCCACACAGAGACACCGTGCATCAGTCCACACCAAGCGCATCGTTTATCGTACGCCGTCTCATCAATCAAAGATGCGCCACCACTCACTCAATGCTTACGAGACCCGCGTCCGCCCTAGCACAGACTCAGAACCACGCACTGCGTAGTAGTTACGCATGGTCTACGAATTCTCATCAGTGACCAGAGTCATTGACAACATGTCTCTGCAACCTGGTTATTCGTACCACCGCCCGCAAATATCAAGCTTGACATAGTGAGCTGCTCTGTCCAATACGTGTGGCTCCAATTTCGCTTGTTCCCGACCCGATCCAAATCTTCCACATTGCATCAGGGATTTCGCACGAAGAGGCTGGGGCAGTAGGAAATCTTCTCAGCAGATGAAACTTGATCGCCGGTTCTGGGAGAAGCCATGCAAACGTCTGGCTTTGCGGCCTTCAGTGACAACTGCCGTCTCGCAAACGCTGCCATCCGGCCACCCGTTGCCAACCTGATCCAAAACATGAGGTACCTCAGGTACTTGACCTCCACACGTGTCTGGACTCTGCCGCACGCCTTCAACGTCTACTAGCCAACGGCCGCTGCCCATTGAGAAGCATCCTGAACCGTTTCTGTTGGGCGCTTGAGTAATGATAGGGCCCCCGCGACTGCAGGGAGTCTGAACAAGCGTCGCGAACCCTTCTAAGGTCTTGTCACCTGAACCCGAACTCCAAGAAGAACAAGGACCAAAGATACCTTACACCGGTTGCCGACTCGTCGACTCGTCGGTATTCGTACTAGATGTCCCCGCACATCTTGCCGGGGGAGTAGCCCACCCGCACACACCGCGGCCGGCTCGAACGGAACTCAGCCGGGACAGGAAGGCCGCTAGTCTCCATCTTTGGTGGCTCCCAGCCTCTCAAGTTTGCACTTCTCGGCCAGCTCTTTTTTCAGGTCTTCATCCGCTCAAGTTTGAGCTATCGCAAGGCTTGCAGATAGCCACTTTACATTCAAATGTATGCGAGAAACCAGATACCGCTGATCGACGTGTCTTACCTACCTGTCTATGTACCGCCTATCAGTCTGTCGGTATGAATACTCCCACCTGAATACGGCCCACGATGGCTTAGCCTCAGATCGAGGCTTCGGCTGGCGACAGGTTGGAACAGGGGTTCCCCCGTAGTCTCGACAGCAACCAAGCTAGGTCCAACGCCTTGGCAGGGGCTTAATCTCTACCGTTTGGGTGTAGTGGCCAGTGACGTCGTGTGCATAACAAATCAGCCCCGGG